GGCAGCTTTTGTGTTATTGCCACACGTCTTTTTCGGATTGTACCACAGAGATAAAACTGATTTATTCTTCAGTTATGGGGAAGTGCAACCTTATCGGTTCTTGGATGGAAAAACAGATGTTAGGGCTTAAAACCAGTCTCTAGCAACGTATTTGAAGTTTACTGTCGCTGCTTAATGAATGAGCGCCTCTCAAAATTTCACACGATCGTTAATGATTATCAGTAAGCTACAGTAACACTCAACACATGGCTGCCTCCCTCTCCTCATTCTTCTAATGATGAGCGAATGTGAGAGAGAGCAGCAGAAAGTGACGGTGGAAAAGATCAGCATTAAGTAGTCAGGTTAAAGCTCTGTCCTCTACTGTACATCTTGATAATTAAATTAAAAGAAAGCACGATGTTGACCACGTAGGAGCTGAGGTTAGTAATGTTAAAGTAAATTAGGGATGCAAACTAACATTAGTCCTTTTAAGCTAATGAGGAAATTATTCTCTTGGATTTTGATGTACAAATGAAATGCTTGTAATAATAAAGAAGGGATGTGGTTCTCATGTTGCTTATTTATGTTAATTTCTACAAATGTATAAAGCAGTAAATTAAGATACAAAAGGCAAACATGAATAATCCTATCTGTAATGATTCTGAGGTCATGTGTTTTCCTGCCATTATAAGGTGGTGAGGCTCAAAACAGCTTGGTGCTGCGCAGTGAATATAAAATCATTGTGGAGAGCATCAAAACTATAGACTTATTTAGCAAGTTTAGCTTTTTGGGTGTTTATTGTCTCCCTGTCTTCTCTCTTGAATTTATCCAGGTTAAGTTTTATAAAGTCGCCAAGAACTTTTTTTTTCTGGATTTTTCCAGTGATCCATTTTTCAAGTCAGCAGTTGCACCACATGCCAGCTTGTTAGTTACGTAGCTTATCAATGTCATCGTCCATCCCGGTGTTTCATTGTTGACATCGTCCGATACCAATTTTGTTGACATCACTCAACTCTAATTTGAATACATTGATTTACTCTGCAAGTAATTTTGTGACTGCATTTCCTTTGCGTTTCTTTTTTTAAGTCGTGATATAGGTTTTAGATTTCATTCATAATGGTCTTAAAGTCTTAAATTTGACCAGGTGAAACCTGCAGAAACCCTGATATTATTCCATTACCTCATCTACCTGACTTAAAACAGCACTTGACATAACACTACTTGACATAGTGTGGAACTTCTTATTTAAAAAAAATCTTTATTAGCTGTCTTTATTTGCTTATGATTCCATAAAACTACACATTTAAAGCTCCCTTTTATGTTATTTAAAAGTGCTGCTGATGGAATAAAATTATGCATAGTCGCTTTTTCCACAAAACATAGTAAAGTAGTAAAAGGAAACTGTATTTAGCTCAAGATTCAAGTTATTATCACTTAACACCAAAAAATCTCATGAAGAATCTTGAAATAGAGAATGTTCAACATTATTGCAAAAAAGAATAAACAAATCGATTATCAAAATTGTTGCTGGTTAATTATCTGATTAAGCAGTCAATTACTTTTGCCATTTATCCATTCCCACTACCAACTCGAGCTTGATTTAAGTTCAAACGTTTCAACATTACTCAGAATGTAAAGACAGATACGCGGTATGAAAACCTTACAGCTGTGTTTTCCTCTGCCGTTGTTGCTGTGGCGGTCTGTGTGACGGCGGGAGAAAGGGCTCTGTGAGCGGGCGGCTGGCCGGCCTCGCGAGCTCCTCCCGCGGGTTGCAACAGGCTTCCCCCGCCGCCACTTGCAGCACAAGAGGGTCCAACTATAGATATCCATAATAAAGGCGATAAAGGCCTTTATATTTATGGGTCCAACTGCAGACCTCCTCTGTCAGGCCACCTCCACTGTCAAGCCGGTCAGGACAGGAAATACACGAAAAACTACAAAATAAAAGAGTGCCATTAGACAGGAAACGCAGGGGGGGGGCGGGTTGTCATTGATTAATATTAAATTATTTAGTCAACATTGTAACGGGACATTAGCAGGCTCATTCCTTAAATATAGCATATTGATTTGAGCCTATTCTACTTGCAACCTATCGCTTCAATCATTCAACTAACAGTATCTTTTTTTACAGGCACTATTTATTTATTCTGTCAAAATATGACATTAACTCCGTCCATACAGCTAGCCACATCCATTCACAGAAAACGTTGTTGATTAAGAGTGTAACTTAGCCTCTCTTCCAGTCATCTTAAAAGAAACACACACACTTCTCATTCATAATTTACCTTTGAAGAGTAATATACTGTGGCATTTTACTGCGATTAGCTGAATTTAATAGGAAAAACGGACAACTGTGGAAACTGGACTACAATTTGAGCTTCGTGGGAGTCTGTAGTAGCCTATAACTTACGTTACCGGCAGGGATTAATAAATAAATAATAGAAGCCTGGACAGAGACTTCATTGCTCATTACGTGGTCAACACTTTCTCTCAAACACAGCAACCCACTACTTGCCCCACATGTGTGTGTGATACTGCAACAAAGTTCAAGTTTTAAAAGTCTGAAACAAACCAACAAAGACTACTGCTCAAGGAGAGATCCCAAATCCGCCCTTTATGGTATCATATTAATTATTAATCATTTCGTAATTACATTCATGCGGTGCGCAACATAATTTGTTTGGAAAACGTGTTTGTGTTTATCTTATTAATATATTGTACATTTGTCAATAAAAATAATGGTTGTTCATAAATGATCACTGACCCCCACAGATGCATGATGAAGAGCTCAGACCGTAGAAACCTGCTGGACTATGTGGACTATCAAACTCTACAATCCGTAAATATGAACACGCATGTATACCTGTATCGATAATTTTGTAAATATCCACTTTTTAAAAATGAGTGGAGACAATAGCCTACTGTAATAATACTTTTACTTTATTCACTGTACACACACAGATTACACAGTTGGAAAAGGAGTTGGCATTTTTAAAAAGTCTGAATGCATGGGTCTTGGCATGTTCCATCAAAATATCTACCACTATCAATATTTATACATCTAAATCACGCAAATTAGGATATGCCAACAGTGGCTGTGGTGAGGAGGAGTATCTTTATTTGGATAACTGTTTAAATAACCGTGTATGTTAAACATCTCACTGCTCCAAAACAGCTGATTCAAACTATACCAACATGTTATGAATCCTGAAGCTGCCTCAATCAGCTGTGTTGAAGCAGGAGGAGAGTAAAGCATGCAGGACTGGGGGTAACTTTCTCCAGGAAAGGGTTGGGAAACACTGTCGTAGTAGGCTACATAAACTTCAGTTCAACTAAGATCAATTCATACAGCCAGCAAAGTATTTGCACACTGTTTAAAGTTAAATGTGAAAAGCTACACTGAACAGTCTAAATGATACAGATTTTTTTTGACAACTAACCTGAGCGTCGTCAACATGTTAAGACAGATGCGAACCTATGCCCTTGCAAAGTGCTTTACAAAACATGAACAAACTGTTATCCAAAGGGAAAAAAGCTAATGCTGCTAATGTTACTTCAGGAGCTAAATCTAGCCACCGTTGGCATAGACGGTTACATATGTAACTTAACTTACACACGTGTAACAATCTGTAAGTTGTGTGATTTAGATGTACAGTATTGACAGCGGTAGTTATTGACGGCGAACATATACCAAGAGTATGAGCTCCTCAACCCCGAAAAATTTCAAGCACATTTTTGTTCCGCCATCACTCCTCATAAAACTGTCAATATACGAAATCTACACAGTTGATTTATTACCTCAGAACTTCTCATAAGTGGATTTAGTGATGAAGTAATGTATGAAAATTGTAAAATATAAAACTTTCTGTTGCTGGTCTCTGTCGCGTGCAATGAATAGTGACGATTCTCTGACCAATCAGTGGTCTGCTGTGTTTTCATGTCACATTTTAGTATCCCTCAGCTCGTTTGGAACCTCGACGGGGGTGATACGAAAAAAAATACCGGGAAGCAGGTACAGGTACAACTTTTCCACAATGGAAAACCAAAAAAAGGCGAGTCGAGCTGGTACCGTGCAGTGGAAAAGGGGCTTTTGTCTATTCAGCTTTATGCAAGATGTGCCTAAGGTTTTGATACTAATAAAGGGAACTTGAACTGTATAAATCAGTTTCCACCAGTATTTTGAGTATTCTGAATTTATTTGTGTTTACAGTGTGGGTGAAGCTCAGATGTTTGCAAGTGTCCTTTTTTCAAAATCACAGGATATGTGCCTCTTCCACACAGTTTGTCAGAAATGCTCCAGAAACGAAGCCACACTGAAAGAAATGGACACACTTTATTTTCTCTGTATGAGAAGTAAGTTTCTTTGTATTTTTCAGGTTCCTTTTTTGTTGAACAGTTACACTAAAAATCACTGGCTTAAAAATACCCAGCAGGGGTCAGTGTAGTACTGACACAGTACCATTGGGGGTATTTAAGGCCAGTGTTGCAGTTATTTTAACTTTGCTGTTGGGTTACCGGATCAAAACAGGAAATACTGTAGACAGAGCTATCAATAATCTACAAGAAGTGCCAGGCAACTGATCCCTCTTCAAAAACTGTCTCAGATATTCAATATTCTCACAATTAATGTAAAATAAAATACATTACAAAATGCCTGTTATATGTGACATTTATAATCATCCTAAACAGAAGAGCTCTCAATCAGTTTCATTTTATTTCATTGTCTTACATTATTAAATCAGTCATGATTCAATGAAGGAGGTCTAGAGTGTGCATAAAAGCTTTTGTTTGATTTTGCCAATTTCCAGTTTTAAGATACTTCAACTAATGTGCTGCAAAATGTAAACCAAATAGGCAACAATTTACTACTAAAGATGAGGCAGCAGGATGCACAGATTGAACACAACTAATTCCTTGTAACAAGTTAACTCTTGTAAGAACTGCAATAACATCACAACTTTGAACTTTGGAAGCAGAAATCCACTGTCTTAAAACAGTATAAAAGTGACATTGCAAACTTCGTTCACATAATTAAAGAGACATCTAATGGAAACAAAGAGGTTAAACTTCTGTTTTCAGAGTCTTCAATAAAAAACTCCCCAGGAAATGCTTTTCAAGTCTCACTTGAGTCTTACATAACATTTCACCATCCTTCAGAAAGTAGAAATGTGTCAGTACAGTCAAGTTTTCTCATGTTGCAGAGATGACAAATTCAGAGAGCACAGAGAAACTCCTTCTGCAGATTCTTTGGGACTGGCTGAGAGAACAAAGCCTCCTTAGATCTCCATTTTTCCCAGTTTTATTCTCTCTGACCATCCACCTGAGCTGCTGCTTGCCTTACTTATGTCTGGATTTGCTCTGTTCAAGACTCACCCTGGTACGCCGCTTCAAGATCCAGCCTCAAAACAAGGTGACATTGGCAGTGGCTTCGAGGTGCTTGCTCAAAATCTTCCACAACCACGTCTGCTTCATTTTCCCCATTTCTGTTGTGCATTGGTACTTGAGACCTGTGTCTTTTCCTCCTTTGGCACCCGAGATGCAGTCTGTTCTTAAGGATGTACTGGCCTGCCTCCTCCTGTTCGACATGGAGATCTGTTTGTGGCATCTGCTGCATCACAAGGTGTCCTGGCTGTATGTCTTCCACAAGGAGCACCACATCTACACGGCCTCCTTTTCGCTGGCAACAGAACACACAGGTGTCTGGGAGATGCTGAGCCTCAGCTTCTTCACAACACTGAACCCTGCCCTCCTGAACTGCCATACACTCACCGAGATGCTCTTCTATGTCATAAACATGTATCTGTCTGTTGAGGCTCACTCGGGCTACGAATTTCCCTGGTCTCCACATAGACTGGTGCCTTTAAGCCTCTACGGAGGAGCTCCGCACCATGACCTCCACCACCTCAAATTCAAAGTAAACTATGCCCCATACTTCACTCACTGGGACAGACTTTTTGGAACGCTACTGGGAGAAAACAGACAGAGGAAGTCAAGAAACACAGAGACTTTCAAAAGGTTGTGATTGTCATAATAAATGAAGGACAGGTTTGTTCTACTGTTAATAAAAAAATAATGAAGAAAACTGACTTTGATTAAACTGATGCTGACATTTTAAAATTTATACTAAAACATTTGAGCATGAAACACTCCTGTTGTGTTTCATGCTCAAAAATAGGTCTAGTTTGAAAAGTTCTATCTTAATCAAGGCTATGTTTTCAACAGTGATTGTTTCAAAAGGTATAAAAATCTAAACAGAAACTTTAAAGTGCGTCAGTAACAAAAATAGTAGTTCAGACTAATGAATGAGTCAATGAGTGAGCTCGCGCCTGCTGGCAAGATCAAAGAATGAGACAGAAGTCACGTATTTAGTGATGTTTTTTTCATGAATGTGACTATTTGCAAAAGAGGGTTAGGCATATAGATTGACAGCAGAAATGTGGATTATGCTGCAGAAGTGGCCTGAAAGTTTTCTCTTTGTAACACAATGTTCATTCACCATAAAGAATGTTTCAAAGTACCACTTAATCCTCATAAAGCACTGAAATATAATTGTTTTTTTTCTCCAACTACTTTACTTTTGCCTCAGAATGTAAAACAGTGTTGTTGTGTTTTTGTTTTTTTGTAATTATCCTTCAGGTTCTTGGATTTATGAAAATCTTCAAAATATTAAACCCTCCCCTCTGGATGTAGAGCCCCAAAACCAACAGATAAAAAAACTGCATTCAATGTACATCAGTAAATAGTTTGTACAAAATTTTGTGCAAAAGTTCCCATTTTCTTAATGCTTATAAGAGAATGAGTTGGGTGTGTTATAAGACATATTTGGACTCCATACATAGGCTTAAAAATGTGGCTGTAAAATGTTTATTGTTTGCTTCTTCATGAAGAAAAGTAGCTGGCTCAAGTTCAGTCACTTGTGATGTCCCTCAGTTGCAATATCCTTTCACCGGAAATGTCCACAAAAAGTGACTACTGCATTCACTTCTCCATGTTTAACTAAAATACAGCTAAATACACACGTTTGTCCACATTTCACCACACTTTGAGTGTTTGCATGAGTGCTTTTATAACCAAAGAAATGTTTTTGAATGGCAAAACATTTTAGCAAAATATTTAACATCATTGTAAATAGTTCACAAAGACAATAAAATAAATATACTGAAATTTAAATGTGTAAATCTGAATGTGTACAATCAGTGGCCATTATGAACACACAAAGGTAAGACTTTATGTAACAGGTGTTTGCATTGTTTCATTCTTTCAGTCCACACATCTGTTTTCACTCACACTCTATAATTACTCACAAAGGTAGAAGCAATTTCCTCAAATTTAAATACTTTATAGTTGTGATGTTATTATCCATATCATCAATCCAAAAGCAACTGCATAATTACAGATTTTTTAAATTTTAAGTTATTGAATACATCAAATGCAAAAGATGAAAAATGAAAGAAAGAAAAATATAGAATGAACACAAATATGTATGATATGAACTGAACTTCCCCACCATGTTTGAATTTCATTTATCTCCATTTTGACAGTTGTACATGTAGTTTTTGCACAGACACCTCTTAGTACTTAATTTCAGGTGCCAGGCCATCACTTCCTGTGCTCTGTGTTTGGAAAAAACAAAAATGCCGCGAAGGTGCTCTCTAGGATGCCCTATGGTAGATAAAACATGCCCTTCCAGTGGATAAAACACGATGAAGTGCCCTCTAGTCTGCCCTTCCAGTGGATAAAACACGATGAAGTGCCCTCTAGTCTGCCCTTCCAGTCGATAACACACAATGAAGTGCCCTCTAGTCTGCCCTTCCAGTCGATAACACACAATGAAGTGCCCTCTAGTCTGCCCTTCCAGTCGATAACACACGATGAAGTGCCCTCTAGTCTGTCCTTCCAGTGGATAAAACACAATGAAGTGCCCTCTAGTCTGCCCTTCCAGTCGATAACACACGATGAAGTGCCCTCTAGTCTGTCCTTCCAGTGGATAAAACACGATGAAGTGCCCTCTAGTCTGCCCTTCCAGTGAATAACACACAATGAAGTGCCCTCTAGTCTGCCCTTCCAGTGGATAAAACACGATGAAGTGCCCTCTAGTCTGCCCTTCCAGTGGATAAAACACGATGAAGTGCCCTCTAGTCTGCCCTTCCAGTGGATAAAACACGATGAAGTGCCCTCTAGTCTGTCCTTCCAGTGGATAACACACGATGAAGTGCCCTCTAGTCTGCCCTTCCAGTGGATAAAACACGATGAAGTGCCCTCTAGTCTGTCCTCCCAGTGGATAACACACGATGAAGTGCCCTCTAGTCTGCCCTTCCAGTGGATAACACACAATGAAGTGCCCTCTAGTCTGCCCTTCCAGTGGATAAAACACAATGAAGTGCCCTCTATTCTGCCCTTCCAGTGGATAAAACACGATGAAGTGCCCTCTAGTCTGTCCTTCCAGTGGATAACACACGATGAAGTGCCCTCTAGTCTGCCCTTCCAGTCGATAACACACGATGAAGTGCCCTCTAGTCTGCCCTTCCAGTGGATAAAACACGATGAAGTGCCCTCTAGTCTGCCCTTCCAGTGAATAACACACAATGAAGTGCCCTCTAGTCTGCCCTTCCAGTGGATAAAACACGATGAAGTGCCCTCTAGTCTGCCCTTCCAGTGGATAAAACACGATGAAGTGCCCTCTAGTCTGCCCTTCCAGTGGATAAAACACGATGAAGTGCCCTCTAGTCTGTCCTTCCAGTGGATAACACACGATGAAGTGCCCTCTAGTCTGCCCTTCCAGTGGATAAAACACGATGAAGTGCCCTCTAGTCTGTCCTCCCAGTGGATAACACACGATGAAGTGCCCTCTAGTCTGCCCTTCCAGTGGATAAAACACAATGAAGTGCCCTCTAGTCTGCCCTTCCAGTGGATAAAACACAATGAAGTGCCCTCTAGTCTGCCCTTCCAGTGGATAAAACATACAGTAGACAGCACTGCAATTATTTTAAAAAGTGCTCACAATAGACACATTCAGTCAGAAATGTTTGATCTAGCTGCTTTAGACAAAATATCTTTCACCTTTTGCGCTTTGGCCTTTTTGCCACCTGTCAGCAATTTTTGGATCAAGATGTTTGAGGCCTCCCTGCCCTGACGCTCCACATAAATATTCAGTAGTTGAAATGTCTGCTCCTGATAATCACGAGGGTTGTTCAGTTGACAAGATTCAATGATGGATTCTGGTATCCCGCTACGCATTGCTACACCCCGCAAATCCTTCCATCCAATCACGTCTGCAATGTCCAACAGGTGAGGCTTGAGATCCACATCTGAAAACACTGTAAAATACGACAGATATTGGGATTAATTAAACAAAGCAAAAAATGTAGATCAGATGTACAGGTTGTTGTAATTTGACTTAAAGATAGTAACAACTGGGCATAAATAGGCATAAAATGTTGTGAAAATGTTAAGTTAACTGCTGCTGATATCAGGCTGAATAATGACTTGAAGTGCCCTCTAGTCTGTCCTTCCAGAGGATAAAACACAATGAAGTGCCCTCTAGTCTGCCCTTCCAGTGGATAACACACAATGAAGTGCCCTCTAGTCTGCCCTTCCAGTGGATAAAACACGATGAAGTGCCCTCTAGTCTGCCCTTCCAGTGGATAACACACAATGATGTGCCCTCTAGTGTGCCCTTCCAGTGGATAAAACACGATGAAGTGCCCTCTAGTCTGCCCTTCCAGTGGATAACACACAATGAAGTGCCCTCTAGTCTGCCCTTCCAGTGGATAAAACACGATGAAGTGCCCTCTAGTCTGCCCTTCCAGTGGATAACACACAATGATGTGCCCTCTAGTGTGCCCTTCCAGTGGATAACACACAATGAAGTGCCCTCTAGTCTGCCCTTCCAGTGGATAAAACACGATGAAGTGCCCTCTAGTCTGCCCTTCCAGTGGATAAAACACGATGAAGTGCCCTCTAGTCTGCCCTTCCAGTGGATAAAACACGATGAAGTGCCCTCTAGTCTGCCCTTCCAGTCGATAACACACAATGAAGTGCCCTCTAGTCTGCCCTTCCAGTCGATAACACACAATGAAGTGCCCTCTAGTCTGCCCTTCCAGTCGATAACACACGATGAAGTGCCCTCTAGTCTGTCCTTCCAGTGGATAAAACACAATGAAGTGCCCTCTAGTCTGCCCTTCCAGTGGATAACACACGATGAAGTGCCCTCTAGTCTGTCCTTCCAGTGGATAAAACACGATGAAGTGCCCTCTAGTCTGTCCTTCCAGTGGATAAAACACGATGAAGTGCTCTCTAGTCTGTCCTTCCAGTGGATAACACACGATGAAGTGCCCTCTAGTCTGCCCTTCCAGTGGATAAAACACGATGAAGTGCCCTCTAGTCTGTCCTCCCAGTGGATAACACACGATGAAGTGCCCTCTAGTCTGCCCTTCCAGTGGATAACACACAATGAAGTGCCCTCTAGTCTGCCCTTCCAGTGGATAAAACACAATGAAGTGCCCTCTATTCTGCCCTTCCAGTGGATAAAACACGATGAAGTGCCCTCTAGTCTGTCCTTCCAGTGGATAACACACGATGAAGTGCCCTCTAGTCTGCCCTTCCAGTGGATAACACACAATGAAGTGCCCTCTAGTCTGCCCTTCCAGTGGATAAAACATACAGTAGACAGCACTGCAATTATTTTAAAAAGTGCTCACAATAGACACATTCAGTCAGAAATGTTTGATCTAGCTGCTTTAGACAAAATATCTTTCACCTTTTGCGCTTTGGCCTTTTTGCCACCTGTCAGCAATTTTTGGATCAAGATGTTTGAGGCCTCCCTGCCCTGACGCTCCACATAAATATTCAGTAGTTGAAATGTCTGCTCCTGATAATCACGAGGGTTGTTCAGTTGACAAGATTCAATGATGGATTCTGGTATCCCGCTACGCATTGCTACACCCCGCAAATCCTTCCATCCAATCACGTCTGCAATGTCCAACAGGTGAGGCTTGAGATCCACATCTGAAAACACTGTAAAATACGACAGATATTGGGATTAATTAAACAAAGCAAAAAATGTAGATCAGATGTACAGGTTGTTGTAATTTGACTTAAAGATAGTAACAACTGGGCATAAATAGGCATAAAATGTTGTGAAAATGTTAAGTTAACTGCTGCTGATATCAGGCTGAATAATGACTTGAAGTGCCCTCTAGTCTGTCCTTCCAGAGGATAAAACACAATGAAGTGCCCTCTAGTGTGCCCTTCCAGTGGATAAAACACGATGAAGTGCCCTCTAGTCTGCCCTTCCAGTGGATAACACACAATGAAGTGCCCTCTAGTCTGCCCTTCCAGTGGATAAAACACGATGAAGTGCCCTCTAGTCTGCCCTTCCAGTGGATAACACACAATGAAGTGCCCTCTAGTCTGCCCTTCCAGTGGATAAAACACGATGAAGTGCCCTCTAGTCTGCCCTTCCAGTGGATAAAACACAATGAAGTGCCCTCTAGTCTGCCCTTCCAGTGGATAAAACACGATGAAGTGCCCTCTAGTCTGCCCTTCCAGTCGATAACACACAATGAAGTGCCCTCTAGTCTGCCCTTCCAGTCGATAACACACAATGAAGTGCCCTCTAGTCTGCCCTTCCAGTCGATAACACACGATGAAGTGCCCTCTAGTCTGTCCTTCCAGTGGATAAAACACAATGAAGTGCCCTCTAGTCTGCCCTTCCAGTCGATAACACACGATGAAGTGCCCTCTAGTCTGTCCTTCCAGTGGATAAAACACGATGAAGTGCCCTCTAGTCTGTCCTTCCAGTGGATAAAACACGATGAAGTGCTCTCTAGTCTGCCCTTCCAGTGGATAAAACAGGATGAAGTGCCCTCTAGTCTGTCCTTCCAGTGGATAACACACAATGAAGTGCCCTCTAGTCTGTCCTTCCAGTGGATAAAACACGATGAAGTGCCCTCTAGTCTGCCCTTCCAGTGAATAACACACAATGAAGTGCCCTCTAGTCTGCCCTTCCAGTGGATAAAACACGATGAAGTGCCCTCTAGTCTGCCCTTCCAGTGGATAAAACACGATGAAGTGCCCTCTAGTCTGCCCTTCCAGTGGATAAAACACGATGAAGTGCCCTCTAGTCTGTCCTTCCAGTGGATAACACACGATGAAGTGCCCTCTAGTCTGCCCTTCCAGTGGATAAAACACGATGAAGTGCCCTCTAGTCTGTCCTTCCAGTGGATAACACACGATGAAGTGCCCTCTAGTCTGCCCTTCCAGTGGATAACACACAATGAAGTGCCCTCTAGTCTGCCCTTCCAGTGGATAAAACACAATGAAGTGCCCTCTATTCTGCCCTTCCAGTGGATAAAACACGATGAAGTGCCCTCTAGTCTGTCCTTCCAGTGGATAACACACGATGAAGTGCCCTCTAGTCTGCCCTTCCAGTGGATAACACACAATGAAGTGCCCTCTAGTCTGCCCTTCCAGTGGATAAAACATACAGTAGACAGCACTGCAATTATTTTAAAAAGTGCTCACAATAGACACATTCAGTCAGAAATGTTTGATCTAGCTGCTTTAGACAAAATATCTTTCACCTTTTGCGCTTTGGCCTTTTTGCCACCTGTCAGCAATTTTTGGATCAAGATGTTTGAGGCCTCCCTGCCCTGACGCTCCACATAAATATTCAGTAGTTGAAATGTCTGCTCCTGATAATCACGAGGGTTGTTCAGTTGACAAGATTCAATGATGGATTCTGGTATCCCGCTACGCATTGCTACACCCCGCAAATCCTTCCATCCAATCACGTCTGCAATGTCCAACAGGTGAGGCTTGAGATCCACATCTGAAAACACTGTAAAATACGACAGATATTGGGATTAATTAAACAAAGCAAAAAATGTAGATCAGATGTACAGGTTGTTGTAATTTGACTTAAAGATAGTAACAACTGGGCATAAATAGGCATAAAATGTTGTGAAAATGTTAAGTTAACTGCTGCTGATATCAGGCTGAATAATGACTTGAAGTGCCCTCTAGTCTGTCCTTCCAGTGGATAAAACACAATGAAGTGCCCTCTAGTGTGCCCTTCCAGTGGATAAAACACGATGAAGTGCCCTCTAGTCTGCCCTTCCAGTGGATAACACACAATGAAGTGCCCTCTAGTCTGCCCTTCCAGTGGATAAAACACGATGAAGTGCCCTCTAGTCTGCCCTTCCAGTGGATAAAACACGATGAAGTGCCCTCTAGTGTGCCCTTCCAGTGGATAACACACAATGAAGTGCCCTCTAGTCTGCCCTTCCAGTGGATAAAACACGATGAAGTGCCCTCTAGTCTGCCCTTCCAGTGGATAAAACACGATGAAGTGCCCTCTAGTCTGCCCTTCCAGTGGATAACACACAATGAAGTGCCCTCTAGTCTGCCCTTCCAGTGGATAAAACACGATGAAGTGCCCTCTAGTCTGCCCTTCCAGTGGATAACACACAATGATGTGCCCTCTAGTGTGCCCTTCCAGTGGATAACACACAATGAAGTGCCCTCTAGTCTGCCCTTCCAGTGGATAAAACACGATGAAGTGCCCTCTAGTCTGCCCTTCCAGTGGATAAAACACGATGAAGTGCCCTCTAGTCTGTCCTTCCAGTGGATAAAACACGATGAAGTGCCCTCTAGTCTGCCCTTCCAGTGGATAAAACACGATGAAGTGCTCTCTAGTCTGTCCTTCCAGTGGATAAAACACAATGAAGTGCCCTCTAGTCTGCCCTTCCAGTGGATAAAACACGATGAAGTGCCCTCTAGTCTGCCCTTCCAGTGGATAAAACACGATGAAGTGCTCTCTAGTCTGCCCTTCCAGTGGATAAAACACGATGAAGTGCCCTCTAGTCTGTCCTTCCAGTGGATAAAACACGATGAAGTGCTCTCTAGTCTGCCCTTCCAGTGGATAAAACATACAGTAGACAGCACTGCAATTATTTTAAAAAGTGCTCAAAGTTGTTCAGTTGACAAGATTCAATGATGGATTCTGGTATCCCGCTACGCATTGCTACACCCCGCAAATCCTTCCATCCAATCACGTCTGCAATGTCCAACAGTTGAGGCTTGAGATCCACATCTGAAAACACTGTAAAATACGACAGATATTGGGATTAATTAAACAAAGCAAAAAATGCAGATCAGATGTACAGGTTGTTGTAATTTGACTTAAAGATAGTAACAACTGGGCATAAATAGGCATAAAATGTTGTGAAAATGTTAAGTTAACTGCTGCTGATATCAGGCTGAATAATGACTTGAAGTGCCCTCTAGTCTGTCCTTCCAGTGGATAAAACACAATGAAGTGCCCTCTAGTCTGCCCTTCCAGTGGATAACACACAATGAAGTGCCCTCTAGTCTGCCCTTCCAGTGGATAAAACACGATGAAGTGCTCTCTAGTCTGCCCTTCCAGTGGATAAAACACGATGAAGTGCCCTCTAGTCTGCCCTTCCAGTGGATAAAACACGATGAAGTGCCCTCTAGTGTGCCCTTCCAGTGGATAACACACAATGAAGTGCCCTCTAGTCTGCCCTTCCAGTGGATAAAACACGATGAAGTGCCCTCTAGTCTGCCCTTCCAGTGGATAAAACACGATGAAGTGCCCTCTAGTCTGTCCTTCCAGTGGATAAAACACAATGAAGGGCCCTCTAGTCTGCCCTTCCAGTGGATAAAACACGATGAAGTGCCCTCTAGTCTGTCCTTCCAGTGGATAAAACACGATGAAGTGCTCTCTAGTCTTTCCTTCCAGTCGATGACACACGATGAAGTGCCCTCTAGTCTGCCCTTCCAGTGGATAAAACACGATGAAGTGCTCTCTAGTCTGCCCTTCCAGTGGATAAAACACGATGAAGTGCCCTCTAGTCTGCCCTTCCAGTGGATAAAACACGATGAAGTGCCCTCTAGTCTGCCCTTCCAGTGGATAAAACACGATGAAGTGCTCTCTAGTCTTTCCTTCCAGTCGATGACACACGATGAAGTGCCCTCTAGTCTGCCCTTCCAGTGGATAAAACACGATGAAGTGCTCTCTAGTCTGCCCTTCCAGTGGATAAAACACGATGAAGTGCTCTCTAGTCTTTCCTTCCAGTCGATGACACACGATGAAGTGCCCTCTAGTCTGTCCTTCCAGTGGATAAAACACGATGAAGTGCCCTCTAGTCTGCCCTTCCAGTGGATAAAACACGATGAAGTGCCCTCTAGTCTGTCCTTCCAGTGGATAAAACACGATGAAGTGCTCTCTAGTCTTTCCTTCCAGTCGATGACACACGATGAAGTGCCCTCTAGTCTGCCCTTCCAGTGGATAAAACACGATGAAGTGCTCTCTAGTCTGCCCTTCCAGTGGATAAAACACAATGAAGTGCCCTCTAGTCTGCCCTTCCAGTGGATAAAACACAATGAAGTGCCCTCTAGTCTGCCCTTCCAGTGGATAAAACACAATGAAGTGCCCTCTAGTCTGCCCTTCCAGTGGATAAAACACAATGAAGTGCCCTCTAGTCTGCCCTTCCAGTGGATAAAACACAATGAAGTGCCCTTTAGTCTGTCCTTCCAGTGGATAAAACACAATGAAGTGCCCTCTAGTCTGTCCTTCCAGTGGATAAAACACGATGAAGTGCTCTCTAGTCTGTCCTTCCAGTGGATAAAACACAATGAAGTGCCCTCTAGTCTGTCCTTCCAGTGGATAACACACAATGAAGGGCTCTCTATTCTGCCCTTCCAGTCGATAACACACGATGAAGTGCCCTCTAGTCTGTCCTTCCAGTGGATAAAACACGATGAAGTGCCCTCTAGTCTGCCCTTCCAGTGGATAAAACACAATGAAGTGCCCTCTAGTCTGTCCTTCCAGTGGATAAAACACGATGAAGTGCCCTCTAGTCTGCCCTTCCAGTGGATAAAACACGATGAAGTGCCCTCTAGTCTGCCCTTCCAGTGGATAAAACACAATGAAGTGCCCTCTAGTCTGCCCTTCCAGTGGATAAAACACGATGAAGTGCTCTCTAGTCTGCCCTTCCAGTGGATAAAACACAATGAAGTGCCCTCTAGTCTGCCCTTCCAGTGGATAAAACACGATGAAGTGCTCTCTAGTCTGCCCTTCCAGTGGATAAAACACAATGAAGTGCCCTCTAGTCTGTCCTTCCAGTGGATAAAACACAATGAGGGGCTCTCTAGTCTGTCCTTCCAGTGGATAAAACACAATGAAGTGCTCTCTAGTCTGCCCTTCCAGTGGATAAAACACAATGAAGTGCCCTCTAGTCTGTCCTTCCAGTGGATAAAACACAATGAGGGGCTCTCTAGTCTGTCCTTCCAGTGGATAAAACACGATGAAGTGCCCTCTAGTCTGCCCTTCCAGTGGATAAAACACGATGAAGTGTCCTTTAGGGTGCCCTTTCACTGAAGAAATGTGATGAAGTGCTATATATGGTGCCCCCATGTTAGAAAATTAGTTGGCCTGTAAGTGCCTCTAAATCATTAAATAGTTAATAGTTTCATGTTTCTATTACAGAGGTATAGTAGTTATACTGAGTAACATTATAATACAATTTTGTTTTACCATAAATGCCTCATGACTTTCTGTGGACTGGTGCTCTCGCAGCATTACCTAATGTTGGAAGTGAATGAGGGCACATTGGTGCCAGTTTTGCAATTTTGGGTCAGATGATGAGAAATGAAAGTAGATGAACTAATCCACACACCCAAAATAACTGGGCTAAATCGATGGGCTTCCTTCCTCATGGATTTACAGGAGGGAAACAAGAATCTGTTGAAGTGTATAGATGGTCTGAATTTCTTCTATACTGATCCTGAGAGAAACTACATTTCATTTTGCTGTATGGCTATTTAATATATGGATATAGTGAAATTACATTAATTAATGATGAATGATTAAATGCAACGTTGTTCAAAAAGTTTAACACCTCCGCACTCAGAGGTGCTGAAAAAGAAAGCCAGTCGAGGTTAAAGGGTCACTCAAAGATTTTATTTGTTGCATACACAAGCAATATGTGTAGTGAAATTTACTGGCATACTCATTAAGGCTGCAAAAAATAAAAAATGTACTTTTGTCCTAAGTTTTGACACAGAGCAACCCAAACAAATTTACATTCTCCTCCGTTGTATTGGGGTAGAGCCAGAAATCTCAGAGACAAAACCTGGACAAATTTAACCAAAATTTAAGTATCTGCATTGGGTACTTTGGGTCAACTGACCCTTTACAACACATCAGTTGACAGATATTACAGAAGGATCTTGCAAATATTGACACAGACTGCTACTTTTGGAGGAAATCCCCTTTTTGGAACACACCACAGATTTAAAAATTTTTTTTTTTTACAGTTGCCAGTAATGACTAAAGACTCAACAAACAGGAATGTGTGTAAGTCACCAGAAACATCTCAGCAGTCTTGTAAATTTCTCGCTGATGGTGAGATAATGATCACAATTTTCAAGACGCTTGTAGTCTTCATGAACTTTAATGAATATTAATATATAATCAATATTTGGGTAAGTTCACAAAATAGGAATATGGGAAAATACCATAAGTACTTAGTAAGAAGTTAGTCGGACTCTATTTCAGAAAGAACATTAAAAATCACTGGATTTAACCCAGTTATACTTAGTGTGTACAAAAATATATTTTGTGGGACTGCAACAAGCCTGGGAAAATGGCAGTAAAAAGGGAACAATAAACAAATAAAACAATAAAAAATTTAAAATGCGAATTTACCTAAATGAAGACATCTGGTTTGAAAATTAGGAAGGACAGCTGAACTGTAAAAAAAAAAAAATCCAGCATCTACCAACATCAGGGAATTAAAAACAAGACCAGTGTCAATCTCACAACATAGGAGTAAAACTCCACATGACACTTCCAGTTATTATAAATACACTGATATTTATTGCTGGGCAAGCTATTAATAGCTCACAAATGACAGACTTCTGCTTTTAGTATCAGTATTTATAGTTAAATCCTATCATGTAAACATCTCAACTCATACCTTTTAAAATAATATTTCATACAGTAGACAGCACTGCAATTATTTTAAAAAGTGCTCACAATAGACACATTCAGTCAGGAATGTTTGATCTAGCTGCTTTAGACAAAATATCTTTCACCTTTTGCGCTTTGGCCTTTTTGCCACCTGTCAGCAATTTTTGGATCAAGATGTTTGAGGCCTCCCTGCCCTGACGCTCCACATAAATATTCAGTAGTTGAAATGTCTGCTCCTGATAATCACGAGGGTTGTTCAGTTGACAAGATTCAATGATGGATTCTGGTATCCCGCTACGCATTGCTACACCCCGCAAATCTTTCCATCCAATCACGTCTGCAATGTCCAACAGGTGAGGCTTGAGATCCACATCTGAAAACACTGTAAAATACGAAAGATATTGGGATTAATTAAACAAAGCAAAAAATGCAGATCAGATGTACAGGTTGTTGTAATTTGACTTAAAGATAGTAACAACTGGGCATAAATAGGCATAAAATGTTGTGAAAATGTTAAGTTAACTGCTGCTGATATCAGGCTGAATAATGACTTGAAATGAAATGTCAATTCGGTCTAATAATCAATTGATATAGAGATCATACAGAAATATAGAGACATATCTATTAAAGCTCTAATCAATGAAAAAACATGTTCTGGGGCTTTTCTTACCTCTAAGGCCTTGCATCTCCTGAGAAGCAGAAGTAGAATGAATGTTAATACAAGATTTACAACTCCACAGTGATTACAAGCTTTACAAATGTGTCACACCACAATAGTACAAACACAACAAGCACTAACTAACAAGGACAAGGTTTCAGACAACTAACCTGTACCTCCTACAGAAAGGGGCAGCTATGCCAACGTTAGAGGAGAGACAAAAAAGCGTTTATCATACATGGCAGCATGATGTAAGCAACTCTGTTTAGTCCTGTGTCTGTGTTCAGTGTTTGTCATTAATATTATTTTTAATCAAGATTCTCATCCTTTTGAAAACATGTTATATTGACATTAGAGATTGCTGACGGAGTACTAGTATATTAGTACTAGTACTATACAGAACTGTACAGAACTATATACACACACACACACACATATATATATATAGTTCTGCCTCATCTTCAGCAAGTCCAATGGAAGTGCAGTCTGCTTTCAATGTTGTTCAGAGGAATTTTCGTTAATTGAAACTTAAGTAAATAAATGTTGACTTAGTAGTAAATGTTGACAATACCAAAATGATGTGCTTCTCTGGGTTAAGGAAGACAGCTGATGGTGTATATTAGATTGTGACTGGGTTTTTTCCTAGAAGACAATCTGCCCTTTAAACATCATATCAAGCGTATTAAGTCTATTATAGAAATAATGCTGTTTCTCTGTTGGTGTAAAGAAATAACTGGACCCTCACGTTGGTGTGAGCTACAGAGTCACCTTAACCTAGATTATTTTTTAAGCATGGAAGATTAATAAAAGGGCTATCTATCCACTGAATGCACATGCCCTGCTAATGTACACTGCCAATTCATTGTTGATTGATATAAATTGCTGTTTTAAATCTATTGTTTATCCTTTTATGTGAAACTTTTTATGCTGCTGTCTTGGCTGGGACAGAATCTCTATTGAATATTCCTTGTAAAATAAAGGTTAAATAAAAATAAAAGAAATAAATATATCCATGTGAACATGTATGATAAAACACTACAAAGACTAAACATCTTACAGCTGGTCAGATAATTATAAATAGGCTAAAAGAGATCACAATGGAGAGAATATTTACCAGATCAGCTTCATTGCCATTTGTTTTTGGGGACTGCGTTCTCTGCCCTTATGACATAAATGATCAGAAAACAAGATACACAAACATATTATTAAGATACAAAAGCAGCAATCAAATATGCACTTTGCTATTTTACAGAGAAACACATGAGATACTAGTGCCCCCTGCTGGTCCCATTACATATATAGTTTATATAATTTAGAAATACTCACATTTTCTCCTTTTCCACAACACACCAGCCACTGCTGCTGCAATTATTACAGCTGCAACAAGGATGCCAGCTATTATGCCTCCTACATGACTTACCTCTGAAACGTAAAGAAATTGACATTTCATTTTTATTACAAACAAAATGATGTAATTTTTGTTAATAAATGACTTGGCAATATATTAATTGAAGCCTTAATGATTTAATTAAAATGCAATAATGCTAAACTAAAGAATACCTTTAATTTCATTGCAGACTGTGTTATTGTTAGATGTACAGGCTACTTTGATGCCCTCATCACCACACCTTGAGCCAAAAGAAAAGCAAGTATGAGTGACAGGCTGAATCATGTCAGCAACAATTAACACATTTATCTTTTGCCTTTATTATGTTGGCTGTCTATATGAGGACAAATCAATACATGCTTTTGTAACAGAAAACACTTTTAAAGAAGCTACACGTCCTGTACATCTTCAAGTTAACAGATATTTGAAGGAGGTGAACTTACTCTTTACAGGGGTGGCAGAGTTTACAGGTTTCTGTGCCACTGTTGCAATAGTGATCCTTTTTACATCGACACTTTGTGTCAATGGCAGGGGTACAGGGTTCGTCCACCTCTAGATTACCTGAAAGGATAGTAAAACCACACAGCATTAGACATTAGATGGACTGACAGACCTTCACATTGCCTCAAACTTTAACTTCAAAACAGAAAAGTGACATATTGTGTCACTTGGGGTACACAACAGTTTATAAACACAATCTTTAATATTCTGGTTGTATTAGATTACCAGGGTTAACTCTATTTTGTTTAGGAAAAAAAAGAGTACTGAATTCTCCTAGATGAACTGAAATCTTGCTCTTGATTGTAAAAAAAATTGAAATCTGTATATCTCTGAATGTAGAATTGATTCTGATTAGGGCTGCAACTAACAATTATTTTCATTATCAACTAATCGGACCATAATTTTTTGATTAATCGTTTGATGTTTAGAAAATGTCTGAAAATACTAAGAGTCCAGCTTGATGTCTTTAATAAAACCCGTGTGATTTATTGGCCAGCCGAAATTATCGGCCGATATGAGCTAACTGCATTTAAATCAGAATTGGCGTTTAAAACAGCAGATACTGTATGTGACTATTAAATAAGAAACAGTCACATCCTGCACTCATGTCATGAGTGTTGCATTGTTTTCCCACCAGAGGGCGCTCTGCAGCTCCCCTGGTAACAACACGGCCTCACCACAGAAAGCACAAGAGAAAACTGACCGGAGTCTGACGAAGCACGTAGAAACAAGACGGAGTGGCTGTGTTGCCCGTGACTTGGTAATTTGTCAAGTTAATTATATGACTTAAATTATAATAAAAACAGCCCCATCACTTCTCCTCTCCTGAAAACATTCATGATTTGCTAACCATCTTGTTTTTCACTGCCCTCTCCCGGCTTCCTCCCTGGCTCACAGCAGTAACTTATGTTTAATGTTACGGTAGTTGAGTGGTGGAAGCTACGCTGCTGACAGACATGATTATAGTAGGTTTATTTCTGAAAAAGTTCTAGTGAACGGTCCTCTCATCTCTCCCTAGTTCATCACTTCTAAATATTCTCTAACATCATTTACAGCAGCTATCGCGGCCCGTTGCTAAATTAGCCACAAAGCTAATGCCGTAGGTCATTCGCATGCGCAGAACCGCTAAGTAGCACATTCGATAGGTAGCATAAATCGACAGAACACCTGTTCTACCGTGTTTATCAGTGGGGGAGTGCTAATATCGTAATGAGCAGTAAAACTATAGTTTCTGACTTATTCTAAAATATATGTGCCTAAATGGCACAAGGACTATGTCATGTCCTAACTTGCCCAATCTTGGGAAATGCTGAGATGATTGTGATGACTTGATTGTTTCAGTTAAAATTGTTAACACGGTTGAAATATTACTGGTTACTCAATAGACAAGTTATTTAAAAGTTAAGTAAAGAGTAATCCTCATGGTAAATGTGCCTTATGTGAAGTTACCTTATTCCTATTATCCTTTGCTAATGGTACTACAATTGTAGTGTATAATTTTGTTTAGTGCCATAGGACAACTAGTTTACTTTCTTTCAGATGGATTTTACTTATGATCTGCTCTTTACTGCTGACACTTATTCTAATTGAGTGTGAAATCTTTTACAGAGAGAGGAGATGTTGTGTTCATCATTTACATGCAACCGCTACGTGGCACTGTCGTAGTATCAAGACAGTTTTCTATTGAATGTATATACGATGAAGCTACTGAACACCATGTTGTTGTACTACTGTTAACCTGTTGATGTAAACCGCGTTCGTAAGATCCCCGTGTTTTTTTATTCTTGAGCCTGTATCTGCGAGATGTTTGTCTGTAGTACAGTCGGCGTGTCAGAAATGTTTAAACCAGAGGGGACATCTGAATAAAAGTGAGCTGAACAAGAATCTTACTCGGCTTCCTGCCTTACAATATCTAGCTCCTTTTTCAAAATGTGAAACGTTGTATTTAATGTTGCAAATCCTCGTTGTAGACAGTCATATAGTATTAGTTGCATTCAACAACAGGTCACTGTGACGTTATCGTAAACGGCATGTTTTAGAGCCAGATGGTGGTTGGGAAATGGTTTCTCGCGGCCTAATGGGATAAACTAGACTACATCTATTTGTGTCATCTGTATGTCTGTCTGCATGTAGCACCTTAACACCAAAGCAAATTCCTTGTATGTGTGAAACACTACTTGGCAATAAAGCTCCTTCTGATTCTAGATATGAATATACTACATTGAAAGTCGTCATTACAGCAGTTTAAGGTAAAATACACACGCTTATTCTCTCTCATTCTCTCTGTTTACAAATGGCTGAAAAAGTTGCACCTTCTAGCAGCAAATATTTATATAGATGTGCAATTGTTTACATGTTAGGTTGTTGAGACTGTAATCTATTTTATTAACATAATCCACTTAGGAAAAGGTATAATAGCCCATATACAGAAAGGCTTTCAATATCGGCCTGTTCTAAGTGTAGTTTATACAGGAGGGGTCTACTATCCAAATGTTTTTCAAAATCAAAATATCGGCTCATAAATCGTCTCTTTTTACTTTAATATTGGCGCCACCAAAAACCCTCGGTCGTGCTCTGGTCTTTAAATAAATTTTTTTCTCCAAAAACAGAAAGACAGCAAATCGTGACATTTCAAATGCTGGATTCAAGGAACATTTGGCATTTATGCTTGCAAATTTACTTTATAATTAACTGATTATCAAAATTGTTTGCAATTCATTTTCTGCAGAATGACTAATCGATTCCATAATTTTGATGTGTCACAGTAGTAAAACAGCTGTAACACAGCTGTAAATAAGAAAATGAATGATGGCTGAATTCCATTTAGCTGATTCAGTTTATGGGAGTCGGCATTGTGCATACTGGTTCACTGTCACAGCTTACTGGGACACCTGAATAGACAGAATCGTTCATTTAAGTAACATCCATGCTTTTTCAAATCCTACTATGACATGTCAGAATTTCTGGTGTCTAAAACGTTAACTGCACTGAAATCTTGTCTTTTGCAATTTTTACACTTTTACTGGACATAAAAAAAACAGTGATGTCCCATTGTGTCTATACCGTTGGGGTGTGAGCAGGATGTGCAGGGCTCACAGGATAACTGGTAATTAGGGTGACTGCTGTACTTCCCAGAACCACAGGGCTCGCATTTTCCATAAGTCTGACTTGTACTGCAGTGCTCCACCAGGTGCAGACCTAAAGTATGGAGACACAAGAGCCAGAGGTGGAAGAAAAATTGTAATCACTTTGAGCCAACTTATGATACACATGCATACACACATGCACTCACACAGACAGCCACATGCAATGGAGCAGGTACTTTTTGGTAATTTGTAATTGTACATTTTTTGCACAATAAAAACTGAAATGATAAGAGTTTACATCCTACATGTTTACCTTTTCTAGGCCCCTAGCATGTCAAAATGGCCCTGTCTCAAAATGTTTAAGCAACCCAAATATTTAAGGTAATAGTATGCGTACATAGTGTATATTTTTTGCACAGTGTAATGAATTTACTTTCAATCATCATTTAACCAAACACACTTGGGACCCACAGCTCCTTTTGGCCACAGGACCAATTATGAGATCCCGTCTCTGTGGCTAATGGGTGGTTTTATATGCAACTTCTTGTATATACTTATGTATTTTCTTATTTTTATTTAACAACAAATAACTTTTTTTTTTATTAGTGTTAGTAGTTTGCATTCAACTCTGCCTCTGATTGGTTTACAGACCTTACTGGGGACATACGTTTAAACCTGGGAGCACATTTAATAGTCAAACACTGCTAAAAGGATAGCTTTTTTAGATTTGGTGGATATGATAACATTCTAGTAGTGTTGTAGTACTCGAGACCGGTCTTGGTCTTAAGGCCACTTTTTGATGGTCTTGTCTCGGACTCGACCACATTTGTACTCTGTCTTGTCTCGGTCTCGGACATTGAAGACTCTTTTTATAAGAATTTTATTTGAAGACCAGTCAAGACCACGACTTTGGGAATATCAATAAATTCATTTTTCATTGTCTGATTTATTTGTTAACATCCAAACTTTGATTGGATGTAAAACGTACTGCTTCAAATGCAACCAATAACGCTAATTAAAATTGCGTTGTTACCGTTAACGACTGTCAACCCTCCCCGCAATGCTTAAGTTGATTTCAGCTCTTAGTGTTTGTATGTGGGTGTTTTAATGGGAATGTGGATCTTTCAGTTCAATTTGAGAAGTACCTATGATCTCGTTCTACATTTTATTGTGTGTCATGTAATGTGGGGAACTGGTCTTGGTCTTGACTGAGGAGTGTTATTTTCTTTATTTTTTAGACTAAAAAACCTAGCATGCTTTTGTAATGCAATGCCCTTGCTGCTCACACACATCTCAAACAAACACAACAAACGATGTGGGTTTTGTAGATCATTGGCAGACCTTCTGGGGAAGACCTGGTCTGATTCGGAGAGACGGCATCCATCCCACTTGGGAAGGAGCAGCTCTCATTTCTAGAAATCTGGCCAAGTTTATTAGTGGACCAAATCCATGACAACCCAGAGTTGAGACCAGGAGGCAGAGTCGCAGTCTAACACACTTCTCTGCTCCTCCATTTCAGGAGTTACTTAGTGAAAATCCTATAGTGACGGTGTCTGTCCCCCGACCATCGAAATTATTTAAATCAAAGATAAACAGAAGAGGAGCTGTACATAAAAACCTCATAAAAATTAAAACCACAAGAGCAATAGTGCAAACTAATAGGAAAATTAAATGTGGACTCTTAAACATTAGATCTCTCTCTTCTAAAGGTGTACTAGTAAATGAACTAATATCAGATTATGATATTGATTTATTTTGTCTTACTGAAACCTGGCTGGGTGATGGAGAATATGTTAGCCTAAATGAATCCACCCCTCCCAGTCATATTAATACTCACATTCCTCGAGGCACAGGCCGAGGAGGTGGAGTTGCAGCTATCTTCGACTCTAGCCTATTAATCAGCTCTAAACCTAAACCAAACTATAACTCATTTGAAAGCCTTGTTCTTGGTCTTTCGCACCCAAGTTGGAAATCACTGCAACCAATTCTTTTTGTTATAGTGTACCAAGCACCTGGTCCGTACGTAGTTTTTGTCAACTTTAGTCCTTAAAACAGACAAAGTTGTTATTGTAGGGGATTTTAATATTCATGTGGACGTTGAGAATGACAGCTTCAGTACTGCGTTTATCTCTCTGTTAGATTCCATTGGCTTCTCTCAGAGTGTTCATGAACCGACTCACTGTTTTAACCACACCCTCGACCTTGTTTTGGTATACGGTATTGAAATTGAACATTTAGTGGTGTTCCCACAGAATCCCTCTTTGTCCGACCACTGTTTGATAACTTTTGAGTTTGTATTGCTGAACTACACACCATTGGGCAAAAATTTCTATACAAGATGTCTGTCTGATAGTGTTGTAGCTAAATTTAAGGATGCGATTCCATCAGCTCTAAATACATTATCTAGTCACTGAGGACTCCTATGCTAGTTTCAGTCCCTCCCAAATCGATCATCTTGTTGATAGTGCTGCAGGCTCGCTGCGAATGACACTCGACTCTGTAGCCCCTCTAAAAAAGAAAATACTAAAACAAAGACGGTTAGCTCCATGGTATAATACTGAAACTCGCAAATTAAAGCAAATATCGCGGAAACTTGAGAGGAATTGGCGTTCCACCAAAGTGGAAAATTCTCGTTTAATTTGGCAAGATATTCTTTAAACGTATAGGAAGGCCCTCCGTAATGCCAGAGCAGCGTACTACTCGTCATTAATAGAGGAAAATAGGAACAACCCCAGGTTTCTTTTCAGCACTGTAGCCAGGCTGACAGAGAGTCACAGCTCTATTGAGCCAAGTATTCCCATAGCTCTCAGTAGTTACGACTTCATGAGCTTCTTTAATGATAAAATTCTAACTATTAGAAACAAAATTCACCAAGACCTGCCCTCAACTGGCACCAGCTTATCTCTTAACTCAGGAACCTTAGAAACAGCTGTAGAACCAGATATATGTTTAGACTGTTTTGCTTCCCTCAATCTTTACCAACTAACTTTGATAATTTCTTCATCTAAACCATCAACCTGCCTCTTAGAACCCATCTCGACTAGGTTGCTTAAAGATGTTTTACCCTTAATAAGCACTTCTATACTAGATATGATCAATCTATCTTTATCAACAGGCTATGTACCACAGTACTTTAAAGTAGCTGTAATTAAACCTCTTCTGAAAAAGCCCAAACTTGATCCAGATGTTTTAGCCAACTATAGACCTATATCTAACCTTCCATTTCTCTCTAAGGTTCTGGAGAAAGCAGTTTCTAAACAGCTGTGTGACTTTCTACAGAGCAATAGTTTATTTGAGGATTTTCAGTCAGGATTTAGAGTTCATCATAGCACAGAGACAGCACTGGTGAAAATTACTAATGACCTCCTTATTGCATCAGACAAAGGACTTGTCTCTGTACTGGTTTTATTAGATCTTAGTGCTGCATTTGATACCATTGACCATCAGATCCTATTGCAGAGACTGGAACATCTCATTGGCATTAAAGGAACCGGTCTAAGCTGGTTTAAGTCCTATTTATCAGATCGATTTCAGTTTGTACATGTTAACGATGAGTCCTCCATGCACGCCAAAGTTAGTCATGGAGTTCCTCAAGGATCTGTCCTCGGTCCAATCCTCTTCACTTTATATATGCTTCCTTTAGGCAATATTATCAGGAAATATTCCATAAGCTTTCATTGTTATGCAGATGATACTCAGTTATATCTATTGATCAAACCAGATGAAACTCATCAGTTAGCTAAACTTCAAATGTGCCTTCAGGATGTTAAAACCTGGATGACCTGTAATTTTCTAATGTTAAACTCAGATAAAACTGAAGTTATTGTTCTGGGGCCTAAGCACCTCCGTGACGCATTATCTAAAGATATAGTTTCCCTGGATGGCATTGCCCTGGCCTCCAGCACCACTGTGAGGAATCTTGGAGTTATCTTTGATCAGGACATGTCGTTTAAGTCTCACATTACGCAAATTTCAAGGACTGCCTTTTTTCACCTACGTAATATTGCAAAAATCAGGAACATCCTGTCTAAAAATGATGCAGAAAAACTAGTCCATGCATTTGTTACTTCTAGGCTGGATTACTGCAATTCCTTATTATCAGGCTGCTCTAAAAAGTCCATTAAGACTCTTCAGCTGATCCAGAATGCTGCAGCACGTGTTCTGACAGGAACCAGGAAAAGAGATCATATTTCTCCTGTCTTAGCTTCTCTGCATTGGCTTCCAGTAAAATCCAGAATAGAATTTAAAATCATCGTTCTTACCTACAAAGCTCTTAATGGTCAGGCACCATCTTATCTTAAAGAGCTCATAGTACCTTACTACCCCACCAGAGCACTGCGCTCCCAGAATGCAGGGTTACTTGTGGTTCCTAGAGTCTCCAAAAGTAGACTAGGAGCCAGAGCGTTCAGCTATCAAGCTCCTCTCCTGTGGAACCAGGTTCCAGTTTGGGTTCAGGAGGCAGACACCATCTCCACATTTAAGACACATTAAGACTTTCCTCTTTGATAAAGCTTATAGTTAGGGCTGGCTCAGGTGAGTCCTGAACCATCCCTTAGTTATGCTGCTATAGGCCTAGACTCATCCCCAACTGGTCGAGGCAGATTTTCCTTGCCTCTGTCGCCTAGTGCTTGCTCTTGTTGCTCTTGAGTTTCTGTAAATAGCATCATAGAGTACGGTCTAGACCTGCTCTTTTATGAAAAGCGCTGTGAGATAACTGTTGTTGTGATTTGGCGCTATATAAATAAAATTGAATTGAATCTCCCAGGTGAAACTATGTTAAATGTGTAATTTTAGTTATTAAAAAATGTTTCATACTAAAATTCTGCCCACACCTTACACATTGCACCTTTAAAAAGGCAGCTAAACTTGTAAACAGATGTTCAACCATTCAACTCATGAATATTATCAGTGACACTTACCAGCACCACACAGACAACACTCCCGCCCTTCGTGCTCGTACGTGCCATCGGTACACGGACTTCCGTGGTTGTTTTGCGCTTGGGTTGAGGCGGAGGGGAAAATCCTGGTGATAACAGCAGATAGAAAACGAAACTGAAAGGAAGTTTACAACTCAGTACATTAGCTTGCAGAAATACATCTTTTAAATCGCCTAACGTCACCTACTTATTGTGTTAGTTTGCTTCTCTTTCCTGAACGGTTGGAGTTTTGGTAAAATTTTGAATTCTGTTACACATCGATCTGTTTCCCCCGTTAACCACCCCTTAGCGCCAAAACCGCCACCTCTCGTCTGTCTTAACGTTATATGATACGTAAGTACATAACCCAACTGTTTACCTAAACTTTACCAGCCATCTGTAATTACTAATCTAGCGTAAACATACATTAAATCCTTAACCCCACACCGCGGAAGCACTGTCAAGGGGCAGGTTAAGTTAGTAAACAGACATAAACACAACGCCTGCGATACAGCATTTAACGTAGATAGCTCAGAAACTTAATATTTATGCTATATGTAACTTTACTTACACTGACACGAGGAGGTAGAGCGAAACAAAGATCATAAATCCCAAAGAATGCTGGTTTGAATCGGCTGCCATCATGTAGCTCACCTTAACGTTACATTCAAGCCTAGGGACTAGTGACTCTTTCACTTTAGTTATCTAACTGTGGAGGCGGGGGTTTTGCGTAGGGGATTTTTTTTTACATGCTTTTTAAGTTACTGTCACCAATAAACAACGAATTGTGCAATATATCCAGCGTACAATACAGCCTATACACGAAATTGTACAAACAAAGGTGTTTGTACTGTTTGTACAGTTTCCTACTGTGTGTAACGTTAGGCCTAAAGAGTGAGAGGATGGTATTATATATTGTTGTGTTTAGGAAACCCCCAAACTTACCAACTCTCTGCCAGTGTTTATCAGCAGAGCTGTAACCAGGATATTAGAAATACTGAAATTACAAGTCCCTTCAATGCACCTCTTACGCCTTTCAGAATATTCCAACCACAGATCAAAAAGAAAGTCTCTAAAGTGTTGTCAGTTTAAAAGCAAGAAAATCATAATCATTATAGCCACCACTTGTCAGTTTCTAAAACACATGACCTCAATGGTAACTATGGCTCTGGTTAACACTGTCAAGCTCTCTCAATGGAATGTACAATGTACAAATGTACAATCAATGGAAATCCCCTTCATGGAAACAAAAACAGAATGCATACAGTTGAAAGCAAAAACTATTTAATTAAACTGTGTATTATTGTATTTTATTTGTGATAATTAATAAATATGTAACATTTCTGTGATTTACAGATGACTGCCCTCATCCAACTAAACTCATGATGCCACTAGGAGGTGTCATTGCTCTTTGTTCGGTATGATGGCTGCTAGAATTAGGTGCAGTTTGCTCCTGCTGATCAGGGTCCATCAGTAAAATACTTTATTGTGGTGTAGTTACACACATTCAAACTAACTAACTTTTAAAATTGAACATATGTGGCAGCTAAATACACTATACCTTGAATGTATTGGTCTTTCAGATGGTTGATGCAGATAAGTAAAGCACTGCACAGCTGGACAGCCACCACCCTGATGCCAACTGAAGACAAGAAAGTTGTGTAGAGTGAAAGTACACCACCATAATACTATATGAATTCATCTAATTTAAAACTCATTCTTTGATTTGTAAAGTTCTTGTGGAGTGAATTAATGAAGCTCTTAATGTGCTATGCAAGTCGTTTCTGTAGCAGAAAATCCTTTCTGTCTGTGCCACTAACAAATGAATGCCTCACCCCCAACCCACACATAAAAAAACACTATATTTGTTTGATCTTTGCCAAGTGTAGTTAACAGCAAATTTATCTTTGAACAAAAGTGAAGAAAAAAGTATTTGGCTAGGGAATAAAAACTTAACTTGAAGGAGAACTCCTGTGGGATTTGGTTGTTTTTGCAAGTGTATCAAATTTCAGTCCTTTGTAGTCCCAGTGAGTCCCAGTGTCGGATTTGTACCAGTCTGCTGCTTGCTTATTTGGCCCACTTAAGAAAGCAAAATGAACACATGCACACACACACACACACACACACACACACACACACACACACACACAGGTGTTGTAGAAAAATCATGAATTCATATTTTTAGCCATGCAAGCAGTGTGGCTCTAAGGATGGCAATGTCAGTCTTTAGGTCAGTCCACCACTGTGGTCCTGATTGAAATATCTCAACAACTATTGGAAGGATGGCCGTGACATTTTGTACAGATATTTTTGGTCCCCAGAGGATGAAAGCTAATGAATTTGGTGATTCCATGAGGATGACATTTGTGGTTTTGAGTGAGATGTTTCCACAACTGTCAGACAGATTGCTATGACAGACATTCATATGCCCCTCAGGATGAACTGTAATCACTTTGGTGATCCATTAACTTTTCAACTAGTGCCATTATCAGGTCAAAATAAATGTTTTCGAAGCACAGCTATGTAAACACTACCAAACCAATGATTATAATTTTATTTTATTCTGAAAAAATTTTGTCTGTGGTGAGTCTGGGTGGCTCTTTCAATAATATTTTACTCAAACATCACTCAAACTCTTGTTTGGGTTGGGTTTGATGATGATCCACAAAAATACCCTGAATGTTTTATTGCTGCATGTTTTCACCTAAGGAAGCATTCAGCATTGACCTTTGGTGATTCCATGACTCCAACTATTTGATAAGCTCCCTCAAGTGTAGGTTTATTATATTGAGAGCCAGCAGTACTGAGAAACACAAAACACAAAGAAACACAAAACCCCTTCGACTTCCCACAATAGCCCAAGTCATATTAAGCCAATACAGAGCTGGAGGACATCTTTTTCAGGTTCCCATTATGTGCTATAGAGCTGGGGAACATAAGAAAGACCCCTGCATTTGGTTCTGCAGCTTTTCATCATTCATTCTTTTATCAACAGATGTAACTCTTTACAAGATGGGTTAATATGTATGAAAAGAGACAAAATCCCTTGAAGATGGTAACATTATATGGACATTCAAATGTAGGAAGTAAACCCGATGGCCTTCTCCCTCAGCTTCTAGCTTTGAGGATACACTAGCGGATGAGTTGGACGTCGTCTTGGCAAAAATCCATGTATTTTGGCGCCTCATTCTTTGTTTTGTGTGGGCTAATGCTTAATGTAATAATATTATTTAAAACTGTTACCAATAGGCCACACTGAGAGCACTACTCTCCTCCATTCTGCTGCACTGCAACAAAACCAAATAGCTACAAAACCACCACCGGAGAAGTGCAGCTTGTAGATTTCAGCTCTGTGGAAAGAAATTATCATCCAAAGCCAATGTGTTCTACCTCCCATCGCCCCCAGGTCATATGCAGAATAAGGCAGAGTAATAGCTTCACTGAGATGGAGGGAAGGAAAAATAAAATAGAATAAGACAATGTTTTTGTTGTTAGGAAGAAGCTGCTGGAAGGGACCGTGTTGCAAAGCCTCCCAAGGGACACAGGAGAAGAGGGAGGAGATGAGTCGGGGGAAGCAGTAGGTAACAGCTCTTCTCTTTGCCGTAAAAGAACCACCATAAAGAAAGAGAGGAGGCGTAAGTGTTTGTGGTTGCTTCTGTAGGCTGAAGTTCATTAATTCTTTATTGCATTACAGTGTGTTTCATAGATTTAGTTAACTATAGTTACAATGCATTGTGTCTGTCACTTTTTTGGAAATTAGGTCACAAAGGTGTTAACTCTAAACAAGTAAAGCAACATGTTCCAGAAATTGTATTGCATGCATGCTAGTGCCACGTTTTGTACCAGCTGAAATATTTCCCCTATGTACACTATGCCTTTGTTAATTTAAAATTTCATGCATGTTGTAGTGCTTCATATTTCATATTTACTTCCTTGAGGTTGAGCTTCTTCTTTAAGCTGTAGCACTTCTATTATAGCGCCAAAGCTTTTAGGCCTACCGGTAGTAATCATAACCCATGAATGCACTGAGAGTGAAAAACTATATTTCCAAAAGGGATTGGCTTGTTTCTTTCAATTCAGAGCAGCTATACTGCGGCGAATTTGACATTTAAAAATAACCACCGTGACAGTTTTCACTTTTTCCGTCTTGAAGTGAATATTTGAAACATTCACCTTCAAAAGAACCAGACTGACGAGATTAACAGTTTTGGTATTCAGTGCTCATGTTCACGTACTGAAACTGTGGTATTAGACAATGATAATTCAGGCTGGGATATCTTCATTTGGGATATCTTGAATGCATTAAAAGTCAAAGAGGAAATAACAAATGTGACTGTTGAGACTTGTATCCAGTATAGAAGAAACTGGGACTGGGAGTGTGTGTGTGTGTGTGTGTGTGGGGGGGCTGATGCTTCTTCACACACAGAACAGCAAGAGAGTCATGCTGCTCTTCAACTACAGGAAATAACCTCTGTGCTGATGACGCAGGTCTCCGGGGGATGCTCAGCCTGTTCTGTAGGTCTGCAGCATACTGTACACTCTGTAACTGCATGAACAGCAGGGCTGTGCAAGGCCATGCAACATGTTGCAGAACGGACACACATTCACACGCTCACATACTCAGTCACACATTTCATCGAGTGCTTTTTTGTGCAATACAGTAAAAGTAAGGATTGTTTTTGTCACTAAATAATCAAAAACAACTTCAGTATTTCCCTGTGTTTCTCTCCCTTAGCACCAGCTTACACACATGCACACAAACTAGATGAAAAGACATAAATCTGTAAAGTTGGCACTAGACGATATGTCTGTAGAGACATTTCCCCCCGCAACACGTCCAGCGGTCTGCCTAATTAGAGCCGAGCATATCTGTGGGCAAGGGAGTCTGTGTCTGCACATGGAAGGGGGATTTGGCCGAGAGCATTCATTCACTTGGCTGTCTGGTGGGGAAGACAATAGCGACGAGGGCAGATTGGATGTCTTGTTCTGAACTGTGGCGAGCGCTTTTCTCCACCACAGAGGAAAGACAAAAATAATGCTGGTTGAATATCCCATAGAGATGGATTTATTGGGACTATTGGTTTTGGAAAGATCCGGTTAAGGATAGAGCGGCAGCAAGCAGGGAGAGAGCAGAGCCTGTAGGCCAAGCCAAACTGATTCCAATCCTGCCTGTCCTGTCCTTTACCTGTCCTCAGTGGGTCCACTCCAGTCATTTGTGCTTTGTATAAACCAGAGGTTTTCAAAGTGGGAGGCGGGCCTCCCTGAGGAGTAACCTAACAGTTTCAGGGGAGGATCAGTGAATGTAAGTGAAAAAAATGTAACATTGTAACATCATTATTTATTTTAAAAAGTAGATCACATAGAATAGCCTAAATGTGCATCATTTGGTTAAAGAGAGAGTTCAGAGATACCGTAGTTTGGGGGAATTTGACTTTCCACTTTATCAGTAAGAAACTAATAAATGCCTTAGGACAGACCTTTTTTTTATTATTATTTTTTAGTTATGTAAAACAGCAATATTAGGCTATCTTGGCTCAATTGTAACTAACCTTTTTCCAAGCTTTGCCTAAGGTGAGGCCCACAGTCTTGGACTTTGAAAACCCCCTCTAAACCATTCTGACCAATATATATCCACATATTGAGTCAACTGTAACACCTGAATATTATAGGATATAAAGGCTGTGTCCGAAATCACCCACTACTTACTATATAATGGACTATATTACT